TTCTCAGCAATTTTTTGCTTCGTGAGATTGAATCCGTGCGCATTTTGCGTCTGAGGAGCCTGTCATCGCCTCCTGTAATAAACCAGTTCAGCTCCGCGATGTGCTGCATTGCGTTCTTCATTCAGTTACTGAGGATGAAGTCGATTTCATTGTTGTCATCGTTTGGGCTTTTCTCTGTCCATCTTCTCTCGATTTTTCTCGAAAAAACATGTTTATGACAAATAATTTTTTTTTCAGCAGACTCCGCTAGTCGGCAACTCCTGTTGTTACCTTCGTTATAACCAAATCGGCTCCCAGGTTTTTTGTTTCTTTGTTGGGGTCAGAACCTGGCTTTGAAATCGGAAGGGAGGAACTCGTAATGGCTCTTCATTTACATGCATTTCTTTTAGTTCTTCATAAAATTCCTCAATCTATTCCGAGAATATCCTGATGTCGGCACATATACGTGGCGGATCACATGAAATTAACATATCTGAAACTATCATAGCCACTCACATATCTTTTTGCAGTGCTGTCCATTTGTGCTATGCCGTTCGTTTGTTTTCTGTTGATAGTAAACCCTGATTCCCTTGAACTTCTACATGCTGATACTCTTTAGAACAGCAGGTGTTTATTTTTTAGCTCTAACAGCTCCTCTTCCCCCTCCTCATTTCGTCTAACTTCGCTGAGTCTTATGACGCTCCCATGATTTCCTGAGCTGTTCTTCCAGATCTTGAAGCCTTGCCTCACCTAGGTGTGATCTGCTGTGCTACGTTTCTAGCGTTAGTAAACCGTAGCAGCCCTGTTCTGAGGCAAGGTCTTTTCATCCTTGTCCATCATGGAAGTGTAAAACAGTTCTTTGTTTTACGCCGTTTCGTGCAAGGAAGTTTTTATGGCTTCTTAGATGCTTGGTCATTTCAACACTTGTATCGAACATGACGCCATTTTTAAGGTATCAAAAATTTTCATGCTAATGAGCTTTTTAAAATATATTAGATTTCTGTATTTTGAGATTTGTGTTCTTGCGTGGACATTTCTAAGTCACTTTTTGAAACGTTTTATTTTACACAGTGCAAATGATCGGTTTATCAGCTGATACACCGTAGATAGAGAAGACGGTCAGAAGCCTGTTAAAAATGTTTTACTAGTGAGGCTTTCGGAATCTACCATGATACTCCTTGTTCGGCACAAATTTGTGCTACGCGAATGATTTAGATCTTTTGCCGAACGGGCAAGTTCTGTAGTTTGAATTCCCAGGCGTGGTGATACCGGACTTTCTTATTATAGAATTATTTGGTCCGTTGCCACCCCCGGGGGGTTCTTCATGTAGCTTTGCCAAGAGGTTTTGTCAGACTAGTCTCTTATTCGGCATTCTCGTCATATGTCTAAATCATTTCAGTCATTATCTTGCGAACTGCAGAAGGCTTGGCTGACAGTCAAGGGTATCTCGAACTGTCGTGTTCTTGACTTGATCGAATTTCGTCACACTAACTGTCATTTGAAGATTTACGTAATTACATCTAAGATTGCACTCCTTCGGTCTCAATCTCATCGCATTAAGTTTTGTGTCTACGCGCGATTTTATATTTTCGTCATTAGTTCATCACGATTTTCATCGTTTGGAGTTACCTCATATTCCTGTGGTCTTTTCGTAAGTCATTTTCGCCGCTCCATGCCTTCGTGGTCTTCAGGTAACAACAGCTAAACTGACGCACGTAATCAGTCGGTTAAGGTTTTCCTGATTCTAAGCAGGCATTAATGATGATGATTATGGTCAGCCTCCCAACATAGACGCTGTGCGTTACAGTAGGCGCTGGTCTTGTTGTTTTTACCAGCAAGTAATTGTTCAGTAAACCTCGTTTCATTTAGATCCTTGTCTGCAAATGCTGAGCGAGGTGCTTCGGCTACTGGGAACGTATGGGGTTAGCGCGGCGCTGAACATCCAGATATTTTCCCAGCTTTTCCATTACATCAACATGTATCTTTTCAACTGGCTGATCAGCCGGGACGGAAGTGCGTACTGCTGTCGTAGCTGGGGACGGCGTTTGTCGCGATGTTTGCATTTCATACTGATGTGGGCCGAAGAGCAGGGCCTGGAGCTGGCCGCCGAATGTCGCTTGGAGCGAATCCTCCAGGTAGGGCCAGCTACCATTACGACTTGTGTTCGAAGATATTCTTTCAGACGGCTTTTTTACTGGGAGCCTTCAAGAGCGAAGAAAACGTTGTTGCGATCAGCGAACGTTGCACAAGACTGAACAGCCTGCAGATTCGATGCATTCTCGACCGTTACCACGTTGATTCGGAAGAACCGCCTCTCGGTGACGCCTTCATCGACCAGATAACGAAGGTGAGTAGGTGCTCATAAATCACAGCGTTTTAACACGATCTTAATCAGTATAACAATAAGGTAGTCGCAGTGAACGCTTACGGTAAGCAATATGATATTCGGTCATTACGACCGTTCTGTAAGGTCAAAGATTTTACTCTAGGCGGCCATTCAGACCGCACGGACACTGGCCATCATAAGGGTCACAGAACTGTGAATTGTGAGAGGTACAGAGTAGTATATCACTGTCAGCTTCAATTAACACAGTGACTATATAAGTAAGCACTCGTAGAAGATATAACGTTTTTTCGCAGCATGCCAGTGGAGGACTCGATTAAGTTCGTAGCTGAAGCGGGATGGCAGCTACCTTTTGCGCTGGCTTCACACGAGTAATTTCGAAGTTGCTGTCGATTCAGTGCCGCGGGAATTGTGCTCTCTGCAGGATATTCAGAATTAAGTTGAAGGATTTTATTTTGTGGTCAACGTTTCGGGCAGAATTTACATTGGCATCGTATGATAATGATTACTGGGATGTCAATTGCGAGACAAGTTACCGTGTTAAAACTTGTTACGTATGTAGGAGTTAATTTTTTTAAGGAATCGGTATGCTAGTATAACATTTTAAACGGCTTAGTTCATTTGTTAGCACCTTCATATTTTAGGCCGCCGAACAACAGGTTGATGAAGCACTTGTCAGCGATGGTCAGCAGCCTCAAGTTGAGGAGGATTTGGAGTTATATTTGCCCTTGCTCTTACCGGAAGATGGATATTCACCAGAAGTGATTCAAGGAATACCCGATGGACTCAGAGAATTCGTTGAATGCTTAAGCAGAAGAGGTAATTGCTTATCGGATTTGAGAAGAGGAGCGTCTAGATATTCATGATATTAGACGTAGGCTGAGCATGTTTGTACAGTTCTGAAGCACATAACCGGGTCGAAAATTTTTAAGAATGAGACGATAAACTGCGATACGCCTGAAAATAAATTTTTTATTTGACATGA